CATTGATGTTTTTGGCTGCCGCTGTTCATTCCTTGTTCTCCTGTCTTGCTTGGATAAAATCACACCTAGGCAAGATCCAAACAGGTTGGGCCGTCCCTGTTAATTCTGGTCCTAATTTTGGACCTAATTTGATGTCCTGGCTTTATTGGTAGATATCCAATGGTGGGATTCAAATAATTTAATAACCAGTTCTCTGCCCTAATGACCGGCTGGGTGGGTGTGGCCAGGGGCTGTGACAGACAGCACTCAGCCAACTGCACCCCCTTGAGAAAAATGGGTTGCGGGGGGCCCGCACTGCACCACCCCGTGCCCCGTTTTGGGCCTAGTAGGCTTCCCTGCAGCCTCCTGGGAGCAAAATCGGGCCACAGGGGGCCCGCACTGCATCACCCCATGCCCCGTTTCGGGCCTAGTAGGCCTCCCTGCACTTACCTGGAGCCAAAACAGGGTGTGTGGGGACTTCTGGAAGGGGCGGGGTGGGGCGGATCCAGCCATCAATGTAACAACCAGTTTGTCTGAACCGGCCCGAACCGGCTGAATCCCACCACTGCAGATATCTGCAAACTGACCTGTGCACACCTTTTGACCTTGATTTAGGACCACAGCGTCCATTGCTAAGCAAGGTTGGTTATGAAATGAATTATGCCTGATTTTATTGCCACAGTTGTTAAGTGAATCTGTATTCCCACATTGGCTTTCCCCATTGACGATGATTGTCAGAAGGTCGCAAAAGGGGATCACGTGACCCTAGGACCTTGCAAATGTCATAAATATGAACCAGTTGCCGATCATCCAGTAATAATAATAAACTTTATTACAATCACAGACCAGCAATAGACAAAATTATCACTGTTTACAATAGTGTTAAAAGATATTACTACTACTACTAATAAGTAATAACGTCCATAATAATAAAATACATGGTATGAAACAGTGTGGCTCTTGCCCTTGGTTACATGATGGGAGAGCGGGTAAATATGTGTGTAAATGTAGATTCTCTAAAAATCGTTAGCGATATCTACAAGAAATTTGGGCAGTAAACAACTTTAATTCTGTAATTGGGTTTGCCAATCATCTGAATTTTGATTGTGTGACCACGGAGGATGCTGCAATGGTTGTAAGTGTGAAAAACAGCCATAAGTCACTTTTTTCCAATGCCAACGTAACTTTGAATAGTCACTAAATGAATGTTGTAAGTCAGTGACTACCTGTATTACAGGCTAAATCTGCCTGCAGTCTGGAATTCAGTTCTGATGGGCTCAGAGGTGGTATTCAGCCGGTTCGTACCGGTTCGTGTGAACCGGTAGCGGCGACTGCGGGTGCCCCACCCCGGCATAATATTGTCCTATTTAGTCATGTATTTGAGGCCGGGCGCATGTGCGAGCAAAGCGCATGTATGGAAGGCCAGGTGCATACGCGGAAGGCACGCGCACGAACAAATGTGCACGTGCGGGGCGAACCAGTGGTAAGAATTTGTGAAACCCACTGCTGGACGGGCTCAAGGCTGACTCAGCTTTCCATCTTTCAGAGATCAGTAAAATGGGGGACCAGATTGTTGGGGGCAATATGCTGACTCCATAAACTGCTCAGAGAGTGCTATAAAGGGACTATGCAGCGGCATATAAGTCTAAGTGCTTTTACGATTGCTATTGCTAAATCCCTCCTTAAATTATGGTGAGCTTCCCAAATCTGAAACTCAGCGCAGCTTTGGTGAAAATCTGACTTGAAGCAGAACAGCCATTTTAATTCAGGGATATATAATCCATAATCATACTCTTGAATACAAGTAGTCCTCAACTTACAACAGTTTATTTAGTGACCGTTCAAAGTTACAATGGCACTGGGAAAAAATGACTTATGTCCGTTTTTCACAGTTATGACCTTCGCAGAATCCCGATAATCATGTGCTCGAATTCAGATACTTGGCAACTGGTGCATATTTATGACGGTTGCTGCGTCCCCAATGTCATGTGATCCCCTTTTTGTGACCTTCTGACAAGCAAAGTCGCTGGGGAAGCCAGATTCACATAACAACCGGGTTACTTATTGATTGGAGCGATTCATTCACTTAACAACTGTGGCAAGAAAGGTTGTATAATAGGACAAAACCCACTTAAGAAATGTCTCACTTAGCCACAGAAATCCATTGTAGTCGTAAGTCAAGGACTACCTGTATTACATGGAGAAAAAAAAGCCAAGAGGCTGCCAAGGCAAATATTAAGGAAAGAGCAAAGATGCTCCATGAAGGATGGATTCTTCTTTTGATTTTCACCCTACAGTTATCATGTTTCTTCTATCTATCCATTCAACTTCTCAGCTGACCTGTGATTGCAGTTCTTTCGGGAGCCTTTTAAGAAAGTGGAGTGCAGGCAGGCATCTTTATGGCCATTCAGTGTAATCAACGAAACCTTCTTTTTGTAGAGAAAAACCTTAAACATTATACTTAGAGGTCCGGTGGTGAATGAGGAAAATGTGGCTTGGCGTTAATGCTTCGTAGCCTAGCTTCTCATCTCTGGCCAACAAATGTAAGATATCTCTCTATCTAGAGCAGGCGTGTCAAGCTCGATTTCATTGAGGGCTGCATTAGGGTTGTGTTTGACCTCGGGGGGCCAGGGTGGGCATGGCCAGCTTAACATCACTCATATCGGGGGCTCCGGTGGTGGCCCAAGTGCTCTGCCATAGAAAATGGGCTCCTGAGTTCCATTTTCAGCTGCGACAGCCTCCTGCAACCCTCTGCCAGTGAAAACAGAGCTCAGGAGGGCCGCATACAACCTTCCTGAGCTCTGTTTTTGCTGGCAGAGGCACCGTGGGCTGGTCCTTCGCTGTTTCCAGGGTGGCCCCACAGGCCAGATCTATGCACCCTGCGGGCCAGGTCTTGAGTTTGGCACCCCTGATCTAGAGGATGTTGCAATGCATTGCTTCATCCCAATGGTATCATACAGGTAGTCCAGAGGTGGGTTTCAACAGGTTCTGACCAGTTCTGGAGAACTGGTAGCGGAAATTTTGAGTATTTCAGAGAACCGGCAAATATCACCTCTGGCTGGCCCCAGAGTGGGATGAGAATGGGGATTTTGCAGTATCCTTCCCCTGGAGTGGGGTGGGAATGGAGATTTTGCAATATCCTTCCCCTGCCACCCCCACCAAGCCACACCACCCCCACACAAGCCACGCCCACAGAACCGGTAATTAAAAGATTGAATTCCACCACTGCCGGGAGGAGAGACGAGAAAATATTTTATGAGCATTCAATACTTCTCGTCCATGTTTACTGGCAAGAAGTTCCTGCACCTTCCTTTTTAGAATTCTGCTTCAGTGTTACACACAAATGTTGATAATATTTCCCCATGATTGGATTCCTATCTAGGATGAATTACTTATAGCATTTGTTTTCCACTCTAGGAGAACTTAATTATAGATTAATGCAGCTTGGGAAGTGGCAGGATGTTTTCTCTGTCAAGTCTCAAATAGATCTTCTAGGATATTTGGGTCCAACTTACTTTACTGTTCATTTTTCACATTTATTGTTTTTAGGCCAACCTTTAGCAAAGTTGCCATGGTGAGGCATGATCAACATAGTAAACGATCATTGGAAAATATTTAAATACATTGAGTCAAACAAAATAGTAGCTTTCAAAAGCCCGTGGTGCAGTCTTAGCAAACTAATAACATTGGAAGCACCTAGTTAATAAGAAAGTATTAATCTGGTTCTAAGTCATAATAATCTAAATAATAAAAAGTAAGAAGAAGCAATCTAGTAACATCTTTGAAAAAAGTATATTGCAGGGGTGAAATCTAGCAGGTTCTGACAGGTTATGAAGAACCGGTAGCGGAAATTTTGAGTAGTTCAGAGAATCGATAGCGGAAATTTTGAGTAGTTCAGAGAACCGGTAGCGGAAATTTTGAGTAGTTCGGAGAACCGGTAGCGGAAATTTTGAGTAGTTTGGAGAACCGGCAAATACCACCTCTAGCTGGCCCCAGAGTGGGGTGGGAATGGGGATTTTGCAGTATCCTTCCCCTGGAGTGGGGTGGGAATGGAGATTTTGCAGTATCCTTCCCCTGCCATGCCCACCAAGCCACGCCGACCAAGCCACACCACGCCCACCAAGCCACGCCCACAGAACCAGTAGTAAAAAAATTTGGATTTCACCACTGGTACATTGTATGTGGATCCAAGCAAAAAGCCTTTCCTCCCATTTATGGCTCATCCAATAGATAGTAGGAAAATTCAGAAAACTTATAGAAGGCAATGAGGTCCGCTAGAAATATTCTACAATACTTTACATTGAAATAAAAGAGATTATGTGCCCCAGGTATTGACACCTGCTAAATTTCTTTCAAATGCTGGAAACCCATTATTATAATAGCCTCAATGATGACTATCCAGCCATAAGCCTCTTGGGAAGGCGAGTGTGTATTTTTTTCAGATTAGTTTGTTCTGCTGCTAAAGGTAATTCCATCAGGAAAGCCTCCCATTATTTAGTGAAATTCTTTACGTGTTTTGAAACTTTGCAACTTCCTGATTCTTGAATCGCTGTTACCGTGAACCAATAGCTTGGAGATTGTAGATGGACTCTTAACCAATGGAACAGAAGTTGCCTTCAGAAGTCGTGGGAGCTTCATCACTGGAAGCTTTCAAGAAGAGACTGGACTGCCATTTATCAGAAATGGTGTAGAGTCTCCTGCTTGGGCGAGGGGTTGGACTAGATGACCTACAAGGTCCCTTCCAACTCTGTTAATCTGTCTGTTAAAGAATCTTTTGGGAATGCTCTAATTTTGTGTTGTGGTTTTAAATGATCAAAATCTACAAACACCCCCCCCCCCTTCCCGGCTAAATGCAATGGTTCTTTGAAAGTGGGAAGAAGAAATTCCAGCTGCAGAAATGTTTATAATTTATACGTGCTTTTTTATTTTTCTGTATTCTGTTAGGATGCATTTTTTTTGTACATTTCTCAGGGTTAAGATGCTGTTCTTCATCTTGACGTGTCTCTGAATTTCTTTCATAGCTGGCTGCACATTTGAAGAAGACGGGGACCTAAATCAGTGTGAATACAGCCAAGGTGTTGACGATGACTTTGAGTGGGAGCTGATCCGAAGCTACCTTCTTCCCCATCTGACCTCCGACCTTCCTCATGGTAAGTCTGCGTCTTAATTTAGGGCAGTATACACCGATAATGAAGGAAGTACTGTGTGACGCTGTGTTACAAAGGGAGCTTAATCATTCTAAGTCTAATGCTATAATAGGTGTTGTGGTCCGCCAGCAGCCTGCAGAGCTGGCAGTGGAGTCAGACAGCGATGAGGCTGAGGAAGAACACGGGCCAGTCCTGGAGGCTGGGGAAGGCCCGGATGAGGGCTCTGCGTCAGAGGCAGAGATGGGGCCAGGGCCACTGGGGAGTGAGGTACGGACTCCAGAGCCTCCAGAGACTGATAGGAGTGAGGCAGAGGAACAGGAGGAGCCTGTTCCTAGTGCAAGCATGAGAAGAGCTGCCAGAAGGCAAGAGCAGCTCAAGCAAAGAGGACAACTCGGGAGTAGGGCCAAGAGATGATTGGCTCCTCCCATAAGGCTTAAAACAGACCAGCAATGGCGTTTGGGCTTTGCCGGAAAACAACGTTGGTAGATTCGTCTTCTTCTTCGTCTACATCTTGTATTTATTTTTGTATCTGTGACTTCTGAATGTTTGCCAAGAAAGGCCTTTGGCAGTTTGCCTAATTGGACCAAGGTTTGCGATAGGACTGAGGAATTTGTGTTGGGAGGAATTTGCTTTAATTTAGTTGAACGATGCTGGGAATGAAGTAATTCTCAGCTGTTCGAATAAAGTTTGTTTGTTTTTTCACGGACTGATTTTCCTACTACTTACTTGGGCCTGGGTTGCAACAATAGGAGCCCTGGTGGCGCAGGGGTTAAAATGTTGTATTGCAGGCTAACTCTGCCCACAGCCTGGAGTTCGATCTTGATGGGGCTCAAGGTTGACTCAGCCTTCATCTTTCTTGAGGTCAGTAAAATGAGGATCCAGGTTTTTGGGGGAAACATGTTGGCATTGTAAACTGTTCAGAAAGTGTATACTAAGTCTAAGTGCCATTGCTATTGCTTTGTGGGAACGATCCTTGGAAACAAGGCAACAAGACACGGCCAAGGGAACATTCAGATAAAAAGTAACTTACCCCTCCGTAGCAAGGGTGATATTCACTTACCTTTACTACCAGTTCGCAAATGTGAGAGCGCGCGCACATGCGCAGGACCTTCCTTACATGCGCAGAGTGTCAAAAATCTGGAACGAGCTCCCCCTGGAGATACGGAAGATCCCAGATCTGCTCACCTTCCGTCGCGCACTTAAGACTTTTTTATTTCATCAAGCTGGCCTGGCCTAAATCTTTTCCCCTTTTTAAATGTAATTTTTAATTTGTTTTTAAATTATGGGGTATTTTAAATTTGTTCAGCCAAATTATTTAATTTGTTTTTATTCTATTTTAAATTTTTGTATTTATGTGTTTTATCCTGTGGCTGTTCACCACCCTGAGTCCTTCGGGAGTAGGGCGGTATAGAAATTTAATAAAATAAATAAATAAATAAATAAAAATGTGGATAAAAGGGATGTGATTATCGTATTTTTTGGAGTATAAAACACCCTAAAAGGGGGTGAAAATTTAGGTGCATCTTATACACCGAATGTAGCCCCACCCACCCTTTGGCCTCTGCCTCCCAGCAGTTACCTCCTTGCAGCAAGCAGCAAGAAGAAACAACTCCTTTCAGCTTCAGCACAGCCTAATTAGCACAAGTTGATTGGATTGGCCTCCCGACTCTCAGCTGTTTTTCTCTCAGCTGTTTTGCGCAGGGCTCTGCTGCTTGCTGCAAGGAAGAAAATTGCTGGAGCAGATTTTTTTTCCCCCTTGTGCTAATCAAGCTATGCTGAAAACGAAAATGAAAATAAAGCAGACTGTTTGCTGTTTGCTGCAACGAGGCAAAATTGCTCAGAGGCAGAGGCAGATTTCTTTTTCTTCTTTTCCTCACCAAAAAAGGTAGGTGCATCTTATAATCCGGTGTGTTTTATACTCCGAAAAATACGGTATGTCCAGGCAGGTGGGTGGAGCCTTCCGCAGCTGCCGTTACCAGTTTGCCCGAACTGGATAGAACTGGCTGAAAGCCACCACTGCTCGGCAGGAATGTGGAAGGGAAAGAGGCTCAGAAACGATCCTTTCTGGTATTTGTGCGATAGAGGGGAAGAGAAGCGAGAAGTACTTTCAGACTTGCAAGATTCTCTTATTCTAACCCTTACAATAAAGTAGAATTAACTCATCTGGTCATGTTTTCTGATGGTGTACTTTGTAAGGCTGACAGTAAATATGTAACACGGGTCAGCAACTATGTCTGTTTTGCATGCATTGTTGTTCCCAAAGGCACACTTGGTAATTTTCTTGATGGCATTTCCTTGAAATGTGCAATTCTCTGTTGGAAGGTATCTTTTATTTGAGCTTCATTGACAGCTGAGGACATTTCTTTTTTTGACATTTGTCTTGGGTTTTGTTTATTTTGTCTATTTATGACCAGTATTGGCTTCTCTGATTATTTCCTATTTCTTTTTTTCTTACATTTTTTTTTAAAGTATTGGTTACTTTCCTTTTAATATTCGGCCTTTAATATTAGTCTTTTTGTGGGAAAAGTGAAGCAGGATATGCACCAGAAAGTGGCAATAAATGGCTGATTTTGCTGGGCTCAGAAACTAAGCATGATCCTGGGTCAAGCATGATCCATATGTCAGCGCTCCAAACTATGATTTCCCCAGCGCTGACATGAATGGGTGGGAAAAAGCCTGTTAGAAGTAGTAGCTTGACTTTTCACCCAGTTCTTTCCCCCGGCAGATAACGTCACCTAGGTGATGGGAGGAGGGGGGAAATTCCTGTGACTTGAAGTAATTGAGATGAAAGATGGACTTGGAAGATGAGACACTGAGATTTGAGGAACGGAAAGGGAGGGGTTTGGGATCGGAGGATCAGTTTCGGCTGCAAATGAGTTCAGGACTAGATCATTATTCTTCAATAAATAAGAGATTTCATCAAAGACTTTGTGTTTGAGAATGAAATTTATTTGAGATAACATCGGGAACCTGACACCATATTTTGTTAAGAAATCATTGGAAAATGCAAGCCTAGGCTAGATTGGAAAGTCAAAATACATCCAAGAAGAAAGTAGTTGCAACCTGTTGTGGCCTGTTGGCTGCCAGCAGCTGAATCAAAGAAGGAGGAGGCGTGAGAGTCAGGGTCAGCATCAAGGCAATGTAAGAGCTCTGAGGGGGAAGAAGGAATGGAGCTGGCAGAGAGAGAGAGAGAGAGAGACAGAGGCGGAGCCTGGGCCATCCATCAGCCCTCCGATGGAGAGTCAACAGCCCCCAGGTCTGGAGGTGGCTGATGAGGAAGAGGAGAAACAACTGGGTCCAGTGCCTAATGCACAGATGCACAGAAGGCAGAGGAGAGGAGAGCAGTGGAAATCCTTGGGCTGGTCCTTGGGACAGAAGAGCCACCACAGCTAGCGAAGCCCCACACTAGCTCTGGGGATAAAAGGCAGGGGGCGGAGATGAATAGATGTGGCAGACAACTATTCATCTCCCTGCTGGACAAACTCATTAGCCTGCGGTGAAAGAGAAACTTTTTTGCCAGGGCTGCTGGCGATCCTAATAAAGGAATCATTGATTTAAATACAGAGGGTTTGTCGTGTTTGGGGAGCTGGCTCAGAAGCTGGGAACCATTATTCAAGCTTGAACGAGATTTGATGGGAGCCGTTCCATTTTCCAATCTTTTTGTGAACTGGAAACTTGGTGTAACGAAAGGCAGAGTTGAGAGACCCGAATTGTACTTACGGTAGAAGTTGGCAAGGACTTTCACAGCTTATGAAGTGAGAAAAATTGTAAGCCAGCTGATGGCCCCGGCTTTAGTTTTGCTCCAGTTATCCATGCCGTAATAACTGACTATTTAGACTGCTGCAATGCATTTATATGGGATTGGTGCCAAAGGCAATTGGTAAACTTCATTTAATTCAGAGTGGGATATGTGACTACCTCTCGTGCCAGTGCTTCACCGTGAAGGGCCCTGAAAAATCAAGCCCGGTTGTTGCTGCGTTCACACCAGAAGTGGGTTGCAGCAGGTTCTGACCAGTTCTGGAGAACTGGTAGCGGAAATGTTGAGTAGTTCGGAGAACTGGTAGTAAAAATTCTGACTGGCCCCGCCCCCATCTATTCTCTGCCTCCCAAGTCCCAGCTGATCGGGAGGAAATGGGGATTTTGCAGTATCCTTCCCCTGGAGTGGGGAGGGAATGGAGATTTTACAGTATCCTTCCCCTGCCACGCCCACCAAGCCACGCCCACCAAGCCAGACCACGCCCACCAAGCCAGACCACGCCCACCAAGCCACACCCACACAACCGGTAGTAAAAATTTTTGAAATCCATCATTGGTTCACAAATAACATTAAACCAGCATATTTTAGTCCTATCTTTGTTGCAGAAGCCATTCTGTCCTGGTTTACACATTGGAAAGTTGCACTAATTTGATTTGCATTGCATATGGTTTCATTTGATTTTTTTCTCCCAGCACAGTACATTCTCCCAGTATGAAAGCCCAGCTAGCCTGAATTTTGATCACCTTATCATGGGGATGCTGCAAAGGTTGTAACTGTGAAAAGCAGTTGTAAGTCACTTTTTTTCGGTGCCGTGGTAACTTTGAACGGTCACTAAGTGAACTGTTGCAAGTCGAGGATCACCTGTATTTTGCATGACTGTTATTGATGCAAGATTGGAGTGCTGTGTAGGCCACTTTACACAGAAGGAAAGATGGCATAACAGACAAATGTTGTCAAGAAAACCTCCTGTCAGCGTTCCAGAAAACCCCCCAACTCTAAGTAAAGACTTTGAAGCAAGCATTTTCGAAGTTCTATTTACTAGAATAGGTAAACTGGCACATCTGGGAAAACCCGAATCTGAGAGGTCCGGGTTTTCCCTCAGTAATTCAAAAACCCCAAAACCATCCCCTCACTCCTCAGTCGATCACATGCTCCAATCAATGCCCGTCCCATCTCGAGACCTCACTCCGACCACTCCTTCTCCAGATGCAGGATCGCCCTAACCTTGACCGACAGGAAGAATGCT